AATTTCATAGCCCTGGCTTCACCTTTGCTTGGATCTTCCGAACATCCATGGTTTGTACAGGCAGGTATGCGCCTTGGGGTGATTGGTCAAACTGGTAAGGATTTGGCTTTGGTACCACGCTCCAGGTCAGAGCAAGAACATGCGAAAGGCGCTGTAGAAGAAGACACAATTGAAGAAGAACCTCTTTTGTTAGCTCTTGCTCAACCTACTTCTCCATCTCACGTTGCACTCCGCCAGTTTCGAAATCGCACGATCTACGCGAACGTCGGAAATGATGTATCAGTTTCTTTCCGCACTTCTGCACTTTATTTTTATAATCATCGCGAAGTAAGAATACAAAAAAATAATCTACTAAGACAATTATACTTCTTACTTAATCCTCCCGAACCTACCAAAGAATATCTTACACGATCAATCACGAGCGCATCGCCCATAATCCACGATAAGGTCTACATGCCTTCAGACATTCCTAGATCACGTGATTTAAATGCGAGATTGGAAATCGAAGAAAAGATTGCGAGAGCCTGGCACGAAGACATGTCATGGCGTAAAGTGTTTGTGCAACTTGAGGGTGAAGCACACACAAATGTAATCGTAAGAAGAAGGTGGCAAAATGCCGCCGGATGGCAAGTTATAGATCATTTGTTGAAAGAACATGAATTCTAAATTACACCTGTATCTATTTCCCTAGTATTGTATAGAATCATGTATATTTCGAAAATAAACTTTATCTAATAAATTCTGTTGAGGAAAAGTGATTAACCGAACAATCTTGAACCCTGTCCAACTATTGTTTGATTGGCGTTTACGGTTTTCCTTTTCGTCTGCGATTGGCACAGTGTAATCGTAGGGTAAGTTGTTTTGAACTTAAATTAGCTTTAGTCATGTCTCGGCATCTATGAAAATGTTAAATAATAACCTCGTTTCCAAAAATAGTTCTAATTCACGTTTATCATTTGTCTTAGAAACGGTTTATTTATTTATTATTGCATTTACCATAAAAGGTCATGATTCTTGTCAAATCACTTTTGCATGTGGTAATTTACTAAACTTTCACGGCATCAAGAATCTACGATCTGACTTTGGACATGAAACTGGCGTAAACGGTGATACCACACATTGCAGTAATATTTAGATTAGTGTAAAATCAATGAATTTAGTAGCAATCCACATTGTACATCATGAAATAACCTCACGTGCACTTAAACGAGTATCAAGGCATTGAATATTATTAATCCTCTTCATACTAAATCCGGAGGTATATAAAAAAAAAATCAAGTTATAAATTTTTTTGCTTTAAATGTAAGAATTCATTCTCACAAAAATTTTTACAATAAATGTGATTTGTACACAAGTTGATATGACACAAAATTGAAATTTGCAATCGGAATGATACAACTATGTGAAAGTTGACTCTTGCCAATTATAGTCGATCATTTTGAATTATTTTTAATTTAATTCGAAATAAAATATTATTTTTCTAAATAAAACAACACCCAATCTTTTTTTATTTTACATCCGATTTTGACACATTTA